GAGAGAGAGAGAGAGAGAGAGAGAGAGAGAGAGAGAGAGAGAGAGAGAGAGAGAGAGAGAGAGAGAAAGTGAGAGGGGGAGAGGAGCTGGACAAAGAAAAAGACGGGTCACATGCTCAAGAGCGCGCCTTGTGCCGAACGGCATTCAGTTACACTACGTTGTATTCATGATCTAGCCCCACCCACCCACATCCTCTGCGAGTTAGGCCCGTCGCGTGCTTCCCCCGGTCGGCGCAGATTGCTGGCCTGCGATACCGTCGCGTCCAGAAAACCTCTTTCAACAAGTCATCGCCACGTCCGAGAGTGCAGAACGTGCTCACGACATGACATGTGACTGATCTGCTCTATCAGCCACACAGTGATCAGCTGAGCGGCGGGTGATTGGCCCGCGGCCCGCTATCGTGTGCGTGCCACCCCCGAACGAGACAAACGGCACGGTTTTGTCGCGTGTTTTGACACGGATTTGCGCTGCCCCAGTGGCGCCCCTGCATGGTCGATTCGTTGACTCCGGCACTGCTGCCAGCTGATCCCACACGTAAGGCAACCCCCCCCCCCCCGCAACTTCCCTGTGGCACAGCGATACCTTACTGGACGTACAGTGCCGGCACAGTTGAGAAAGTTGCATTCAGGGGAGCACGAGCATTAAATCGAGTTTCGAGACTGCTCTGAACAGTTGCGAAATTGACGCCTTATTTGTTACGGTTGGGCGGGTTAGCAGTTGATTCTGTTGAGTTCACAGAGGTCACGTCCGGTGCGAACTCAGCATGGAGACTTTCGTTGCCACCCACTTCATATGTCATATGAGTTGGGAATAACTGCGCCAACTTAGCTCGACTTTCCGCGAAATCATGCCTCCGCTTGCATTTGCAGCACGTGGGTTAGCTTGTGCTTTATCTTTGATGGCTGACAGCTCCCGTGCGGTCGCTGGGCGGCCTCACCCTCCGCTGAAGGAGGGGGGTCCGAGGAAATCCCGGGAGGACCGCGGAGGCCCGAGGCTATCGTGCGACGCACCCGGAGATGACGAGGTGTTGTTTTGTTCGCGTCCGTCTATGAGCATGATTCCAAATCTGTGTCTAGCTCGGCAGGGTTACTGAGTGGAGCGTCATGACAGTGCATGGGCAGGCGCGCCCTGATACCTGATACCTGATCCTGATACCGGCAGACAGAGACACGCTAGCCGCTCCACGGCGTCTGGAGTTTTCCAGGCCTAGAATGGCAGTGGTCGTATCGGGTGATTACTGCCTCATCTGGGGCGGACACTATCGACCGATGCGTGCCTAATTTCGTGTACCTTGATAGAATCAGTTGGTGGGAACGTGCCCATTGTGCGTGCTTGACTCGTGCCTGCCTTAGCTCACCCGCGTTCTGTCGTGTAACTTCACGGGACGCTCGAGGCTTCAAAATGGCAGATAAATGCATGCGTGCATGCAGTGACAATGTCGGCCTTGAACACGAACACAAGGAAAAGCTGGGACACCGAGCAGACATCGATCCATTAGGAGTATTCAGGTCTACACACCGTTGTCAGTTCAACGAACCGAAACTAACAAACCACAACGAATATATTCTCGATTGCCCTCTAACGGATTTTACCTTTCTAGATGCAGATTTGGGCTGTATTTTCTGTTGGCTAAATGGTAAATCACAGGACGATAGAACAACTTCGTAGCCTTTCGCTACGTGCTCGTCTTCCGAAACCACACAGGAAAAAAAATCGCGGCCATAATTCAGTCCACCTAATCCGAATGGTGACCCAGCGCTGGCAAATCTTCACGACATCGTGAGAATGCCGGGCGAGTTGAAACAACGTGTGGCGATTGGAATTCATAACGGTCAATATCTGCTCAGTCAGCTCTGGACTTACGCTCTCGCACTTAACAAAGCCGAGGTAATGGGTTTCAACCACTATGTGCGGACGCAGTCAACATAAACTCTTACGGTCAAATTCATAAACCTGGCGAGATCGGATCGGCTCGGCACTCTTCTATATCATTCAAAACAGCCGTTAGTCTGTGTAGCGATGTGGATATGACAAGATGGGGTCATAAATATGACAAAGCTCCAGCTGTTTTCCATGTGTCAGCTCACGGAAATAAACATCTCGTTTTCTGCTGACATCCCGACAGCATCAGCCAACATTCAGCCATTTGTCTATATCTGAATAGTTGAAATTATGTTAAAACATCGTATGAAAGTGATTTGCTTGGGCAGCACTCAACCGTGAGCGTTCACGGACCGCGTGCCACCACGTTTGCCTCCCTCGTGGAAGGCTCCCGGAAAGTGACCAGGACAGGACTCGGACTTTTGGGGGACAGTCTGCTCTAAAAAAGGGAGGACTCACTCCCCTCCCCGCCTCTAGCCATCTCTACCTGCCTCTGACATCTCTCAGAAAACCATCCCGAGAGAACTGGCGACCAACAGCGATGTGCCGCAGTCGGCAGATCAAAGGCAAGGGTTGTGGGCCCCGCTCCGCACCAGTCGACAGGCAGCCAATGCGGCGGTCTGAACGGCACTACTCATGCCGGAAACGTTACGAGTCGAGGGTGACAAGAAACAGCCTTGACACACACTGGATGACAGCTATATTCACTTGTAAGCCAGGGGGATGGGCACTCTTGCCATCTGTTCCCGGAATGACCACCTGGTTCCCTGGCGAGAGTTGTAACAAAGAAGAGGTTGATTTCATGCTTGCCTGGGCTACTTTGAATCAACCACTAGAACAATTTTCTAGAACAACGTTTCCAGCCAGTACAATGAAAATAATTCGGGATAAGCGAATGAAAATCAATACCTCCCGGGGCAAACAACACACTTCTCTCCAGTCAATGTGGGACGAAATTGAAACCGACCTAATAGCAGACAAGACCACCAAAAGCCATTAAACTCCTTTGACGGTTAAAACATCATGGACTTAGCCGGAGAGGCACGTATGCCGCAGGTTTCACATTCTGTACCAATGTCGTACTCAGTGGTACTACCCAATACACATGAGTCGTAACAAACCAACATGTGTCGTAATGTTGTTGATGATGATGATGTGATGTTGAATGTTGAGATAACATCTTTGTTCAGCAGCCTGGAACCAGCTATAACGACACTGAACATAGAAGGCCAGTTAGTGCATCAGTGGGGTTAATTTTGCTGCACGGAACGTGACATTCGCAGGATGAAAAAAAACTAACTGCACGGATACTCGCAGCAACAGCAACAACGAGTTTGTACTGTTTACGGCTTCAGTCGGACCTTTCATACCTCAAATGTGACTGTTATGTTTTTAGCGCGGGATTAATGCGAGTTATACATGGCATTTGCCACTAAATAGCTCAGTATTATATTCAGGTCCAATGATGTTTAGTAAAATGATGCATAGTCTCTTGCACCGTAAAGTACGTACGGAGACCTATGCATGGTCTCGTGCCTTTCTTGCAGATATTTATCGACGTTGTGGCCTCCGTTTGTGACAACCTTTAATTATGGGCATAGAAACGCTAAAAATGGGGCTAGTCTGATCAGACTTTCGAATTCGAATCCATGGACCATAGTACTCCAAAATCGTACAGTGCTCGGATTTTGACCACTTATTTCCAAGGGATTGTTTTTTTGCCGCAACATTTTAGACAGACGCCAATTCGGATGTTTCAAATATTGTTTTCGAGAACCAAGGTTGCAGGCCTAAACAACATATTTTCCTGTTAGAAACAAGGGGCGTAATTGTAAGACCATAAAAAACATTTTCTCGGCTCTTACTAACACGCTTCCTGCTGTTGTCCGTCAACAGGCGGTCACAACCCGGGTAACTAACTGCGCGCCAATCAGCTGCCCGCTTTGCCGAAAAAGTACCGAGCCGAGCAAAAACCCGAAAGTCAAGCTAACTGCCTAGTCGCGTAAGCCGAGCAATATTGAGCCACTGATTAGAAGGAAAGACGCCCGCGCCCAGATGCTGCCCACACACAAATCTGGGGAATGAAGTCGAAGTATGGAAGTCGAAAACCGACTTCCGACTCCGGCACAGGAAGTCAACCATGGTCCGGGTGCTGCTGATCGCCATATCGCAGAAGGCGGACAGAAGCCTGCTAACACTTCCGCGGCAAATGAAATGGAACGGCCGACCGAACGGAGAAAAACTGCGGCTTTGCCCGACTAAAGAATGATAAATGGCGCGGCGCCGATGGAGCTGCTCCGAAAACTTTCATCTCGGGAGAGCCTCCGTGGCACAGGAAAGCCCCTCGATCAAGGTGTTACGGAAAATGCTGACGGAAAGCTTCCCATACGACGTCATCGAATGTTGATGGTACGGACAACTTGGGGAAGTATGGATCCTTGCCAAACCAATGCTGGGAAAGGAAAACAAAGGAAGTTGTGTGATGAATGTCAGAAGTCAGTGATGTTGAAGAACATGTTGTCTAATGCCATGCGGCCTGGCAGGCATATTTGTTAATTTAATAAATATTGCTGTCGTCAAATGTTTTAAATTACCTGTCAACTGCAAAGGTTGCAATTCACTGCAGTCATATGCTATGTATGATACCGCATGACACGGTGGGTATGCAAACTGCATAGCAGCATGTTGTTTCATTTGCTCTTCGAGAAGACAAAACAGAAGCATCGCATCCTCCCCAATCAAACCTCACTGAAATATTTTGGGCATGAAATTTGGAAAAAAACACCTAAAAAACTTGCATCGACATAACAATGGCACGCGTATGGGCAGGATTTTCGCCAAAAAAGCTCATCGTAAATGAGCGGTGAAATAAATTGATGTGCTTTGGCGTTTTGACAAAACTCTGCTGCACGCTTTTGTTACGATTAAGCATCTCTTAAAGGCGAATACTTTTTCTTTAGAATGTTTGTGAGTTCGCCTTAGACACGGCTCATGTCACCTGTTGGGGTCCGGATCAAGATAGCCAAAAAATGCAGCAAAACAGCATGAAATCTTCAAACTGCTTCAAACGTCAGGGAGAGGTCACTTTACAGGCAACTCGCTTTAGCATTGCCCCTTACCAGCGCAAAGACGGACTGGCTGATGTTGTGGCAGTCGTTAACCTCTGACCTAAGGTCAGAGCAGTGGCTGGGAGTCCAGACGTGACCTGGCGGCAGCGGACTGACGACCTCGACCTGGCAGCACAAAGACCGAGCCTGCATCAGAACATCAGAACCTCAGAACATTAGAACATCAGAACATCAGGGCAATCTGCATCAGAACCAGATGAACCGGACATGGGTCGCACGTTAGCAGGGAGAATCTGGGCGTGCGATACATATCAGTATTCAAAAGTTTCAGTACGTCATTCATGGGTGAAATGGCATATGGCAAAGTTTTCAAAATCGCGACACAGGAACATAAAAAACGACAGAAAAATACCACATAACAAACGGCAGCTGGCAACGACGCAACAGCTGATTACATCAAACTCAAGATGTCAAGTGGCTGGCTTTCGAACCAAGCAAAATCAGTTCAGGTTCAACAGCCTTTTACGGAGCCGTGTGTCAATGAACAATCACACCGTACCGTCACCACAGCCGAGCTGGTTGGAACATGTTTCCCGCCGGGGCTATATCCACCACATCAGCTGTCTGAAAGGCAGCGAACGCCATTGCAGACACCCCACCAACCTGTCTTTGGACGTGAAATGTCCTCTCGTACGGGCGAAACCGGCACACATTTCCCCATTGACAAATGTTTAAAACTGGTCATAAGCTCTGCTGACGGTCGCCGCAGTTGCAGAGCTAATGGAACCTCGTAAAGGTGATGGTTTTTATGGTATCTACGTTAGGTTCGATCAGACGAGACCTCATATAAAGCCCAAACAGCATTGTGCCGACAATGGTAGGCATGCTCCGTTATAACGTTAGCTTGCTGTGAACAACGCGAGTGACAAACTCGTGAGAAAACCCGACGGTTTTTGGCAGGGTGTGATTGCTACGTAAACGCTAACTAATGGCACCCAGCATCACATGTGATTTCGAGGAACGAGTTTTGTTCATTATGCTCAATGTTTCCATTCAACATAATCCCATTATATCGCGGGAGACCCATTATGTTTAATGCTTTGGTATTCATCAGAATCGAGCAGTCGTCCGTTTTTCGTACGCTCTAGAGTTTAACGGACTTTTGGCGGAACCTCTGACGGAAACTTCAAGGTCCAACCCATCCCGTTGACCTTTTCCCACCACTTCCACGAGGCCACCGTTCCGGCATAGTCAGCGCAACATCCACCCATTGTTTTGTCGGTGTTGGTCAACCCGACATCGGCGGGATTCATCGAGCGGGGAACCACGTGATATGTTCCAACTTTGCGAACTTCCCCGTCTCATATTTTCTTTTTTTGTGTGTGAAAAATTGTGATTAGTTTTCTCGTATACGTTTAACCTCTTCAAGGTTCTCTTCTTTTCTCCTCCTCTTCAACCGCGTGGGACTGATACTGACCTCTTTAATTCTCTGTCTTGGCGTAGACACCATCTCTACCATTGAATGAAAGTGCCTCATACACAAAAATGTATTTGCATCAGTAAACCTGCGAACTTTGCAGGGCAAGGAACAAGTCCACAAGGTGTCGGCAATTGCATTGCACCCAGACTCTTTGTATCGAACGTTTTATTTTACATCACGTCATCAACATACAAACATCCATTCCATCGCCATAAGTTGGCATAATGCTACAACCAACGTCGTCCATCGCCACCACATCGCCCCCCGCAGCTTCTTTAAGATGATTCTCTAAACGTACGTCCTACGTCTCGCACGTCTCGTACGTCTCGTACGTCTCGTACGTCTCTAAACGCACCGCCGGATCACGCGCACGCAAACCTCCTGCAGGTGGGTGACCCCCAAACGGCCCATCGCACGGACGCGGGCGATGTTCAGTCCCTCTGTCGTGCGAGGTTTGTGGACAGACCATCATTAAAGCGGGCTGCGTAGCTCACATGTATTCATGTGGGACGGCCCCATATGAAGAAATCGGCAGGAATGAGGTCTGGCGAGCTGAGGGCCCGTGGAAGAACCCTCTCGCGGCTGGCGTGGCGGTTCAGAACATGGGAAAGCAGCCGGTCGAGTGAGCCCCAAGCGGCGTGCGGAGCCGTGACGCCCTTCCGCACCCATTTCTGATTGCGGCCGAGGCGACTTCAGTCTGAGCTCAAGCTTTCTCCAGAAGGCCTCGAGCGGGCCGTCGATGTAATGCTCGTGGCTGATCGTGGCTGAAATGTAATGACGTGGCTGCTCGTCGCTGATGGTGAGGACTCCAACCTGCACGCCTTCGAAGAGGAATCAAACGAACGCTCCCTCGTCGATCGCGTTTGCCAAAACCTCGCACAGGAGGTGCGATGTTTGCGATCCTCATGCGCACCTCCACTGGAGGTGCGATCGCGGCCTCCAGTGGAGCTGGAGGCCGCGATCGTCTGTGAGGCGGGCTGAGACGCAGCTCAGATGGTGTATGACGTCTTCATCAACCTTCAGACCAACTTGCCCATGGTCCTGCGACGCTGGGCGCCGTGTCTAGAGCATTAAAAAGCTGCTACGAGACGGTCTCATGGCCGATGGTCGACGTTGTTAAAAAATAGTTATATCTGTACAATACATACACACGTATATGTATATATGCATGTATATAAACTGTATTATGCCCAACTGCGATGTGTCCAATGATATCTGCACTTCCATCATACGATGCTTGGTAAAGTGTTTTAAGAGAAGTGCTTGTTTGCTGTTTAAGAGTGCGCTTCATTCTTGAACACTCTGCATTTCTTGCGTCTCTTTTTCTCCATGCCACGCGGCAGCGTCGGTGTCAGTGTTTTTTTCAAACTTGGGCTGCTGCCCTCACTTCCATTTTGCCGTTCCAATAGACCAGAGATTGAGAGGGCGGGTGGTTACAGATCGAGCAGAGCTTGAGAGGGCGGGCGGTTACAGATCGAGCAGAGCTTGAGAGAGCGGAGGTCATAGGCAGGGCAGAGCCTGAGAGGGCGGCTGTTATAGGCAGAGCAGAGCTTGAGAGGGCGGTGCTTACAGACAGAGCAGAGCTTGAGAGGGCGGGCGGTTACAGGCAGAGCAGAGCTTGAGAGGGCTGGCGGTTACAGTCAGTATCGTTGCAGGATCTGCTTCGGTTTCGTGACGGCAATCCCGGTCCACCAGCGTCATCAGCTGATTCGTTCCTAGTCTACGTCACCAGCTGAGCCGCATCAGCTGAGCATCATCAGCTGATTCGTACCGTATCTCACCACGCGGTGAGCGCAGAGGGCAATCCAGGCCCCGACTCGGAGGCGGCGCGGCGTGATGAACTTGCCGCGCGATTCGATCGTGATGTCTCGGGGCGGTCAGGGGCGCACTTGGGACTGTACAGTGGGACGGTGTACTCGGCTGGCGCAAAGGACGCTCCACTGCGGGGCTCGGCCGAAGGCGGTTGGAGGTGCGCACGCTGGCCGCCGCGCGATCACCGTTCCCCCCCCCCCCTCCCTCGTGTCGATGCTGTGTACGCCCCTGTCGCGAACGACGCGGCGCCTCAATTTGGCACCCGCGACGGAAACCAAATCATGGCGCGATCCGACGCCGTCGAATCAGCCAATGACCGTGCCGCGATGCCTGGGGCGTTATTCGGGCCCCCTCTCCGCATCGGGCGGGAGGTAGCCGGCTCAATCACAGGCGAGCCTTCCCTGCCGTTCGCTGCGGTTTTTGCCTGGCGCCGCGGGGTCTCCACCCAGCCGGTTAAAAGCTCTGCCGGTCGCTCTGATGGACGGTGCATCGCAGTAAAAGGCTGCGCTTGGCCGCGGTAGAGACCCACTGAAAGGAATCGGAGGAGACGTGTTCGGAAAAATATTTTCGATTGGTGGGGCTGTTGCATTTGGCGCCCGTACGTGACGTCCTGCATAGAGGAGTCTGTAGCGTACGTACGTAGAGGAGTCTGTAGCGTACGTACGTAGAGGAGTCTGTAGCGTACGTACGTAGAGGAGTTTGTGGCGTACGTACGTAGAGGAGTCTGTAGCGTACGTACGTAGAGGAGTCTGTAGCGTTCGTACGTAGAGGAGTCTGTAGCGTACGTACGTAGAGGAGTCTGTAGCGTACGTACGTAGAGGAGTCTGTAGCGTACGTACGTAGAGGAGTCTGTAGCGTACGTACGTAGAGGAGTCTGCGCCGTCTTACAGGCGGCTGGTGTAGAAGATGTTAGTTGGAGCTTGGACCTCACATAAGACACACTCTTGCGTATTATGCTGCATCTGTTGAAAGAATCTGGACGTCATCTATGTGGATTTCTTATGAAGAATACCCTTCCTATGTCCTTCGGTATATTTTTTGAGAAGCGGCAGCCGAAGATATCAACCGCCTTCTCACGTACGCCTCCACACCCGAAAATGCGCAACAGCATGGACAACGGTCCATGTTACGATACAATGCATTCCATATGCACTTTCAAGACAGTTTCGGGTCAGGACTGGGTCTAAAGCAAGGTTTATCTCCACTGGAACAAGGTACGCTTTGCACCGGTAATCCACAGCCTCGACGGGAGCGCAAGGACACTGAACACTGGCAATGATGTAGGTATGCACAGGTCTGGTGTATATGGCTTATTTTGGGGAATACATGATTCAAGTCAGTTTTCTAGCCCCTTTCAGTCATAATTTCATGCAAGCGCGTCTCTTAAAAGATTAGTTGGGTGCTGCTTTAAATCGCCAGTGGACTCTGGAGACAACACGTGATCTATTGGCATCACGGCATGCCATAAGTCTGATCCGTCATTGAACAAATTTAACACTCACCTGAGCAGACTGGATAAACTCTTGCCACCACGAAACATTAAACAACGATTCTGTCGTTAATGTTAAAACATGCGTTCCAGACAGCGCGAAGCAAAAAAACTAAAAATAAAAGCCCGGCATGGCAATAGGTGCCACCAGGTGGCAACTTTGTCGATATGTGCTATTATGACCGTTAATGAACATAACCTGTGTTGTATATTCCAGAAACCTTTTAAAAATTAATTAAAAACATGCGATCAACGCATGGTTCGGATTCGGCAGTGCACAACCGACGGCCGTTCCGCCATGGCTCCCGGTGGGTGAAGAGGGAGCCTCTGCTGGCTTCCCAACTGTTTTTGTAGAGCAAAAATACCCCCCCCCAAAAA